TAGATAAGACGTTTAGAGATAGCAAATATGGTCTGATTCGCAATGGTGTTGAGAGAGACACAGGTCGGTTGGTGGCTTTTAAATTTATTGAGAAATCCAATGAACTTGGAGAACTCCCAAACTTAGAATCCCCAAGCTTGATCACACGTGAATCCTCTAAAATCATGGGGTTGAACCATCCGAATGTCACCAGGTATAAAATAAAATTGTTTCCTGAGTTAAAAACTATAGAAAATTGCACTAGTTTTAGGATTCTATCCTAAAATTGTTTTTGAAATATTTACTTAAACCGTTTTGTTAAATTTCTTGTATCAGTTGTTTTTGAAAACGATAAAATGTATTTAAATTCTATATGGAGGAGGCTCTTATAAATTGTTTTTACTTAATATTGTTGTGGGTGAGACTATTTTTTATTTTTCTGAATGCTTGTTAGCTGTTCAATGTGTAAAAAATCTTTTATTGAGTAGTAACTGTGTTTCTTTTAAGAAAATAAGTAATTTGATTGAAATGTTGTTACAGGTGTCTGAGAACAGAAACTGATGATACTTTTTTGTATCTTGTTTTCGAGAACCTACCGTGGGATTTGGATGATTTTATAATAGGGCAGGCGAAGATTGAGAATCAAGTCTCTATAAAGGTATGTCAAATCTTGATATCAAAAGTATACCAATAAAAGTTGTTTCTTAATTCATGTAATTTAAGTTATTATTGGTTGTCACTGGTTCAACTGAAGATTTCGCTTGAGCACATATATATTTTTACAGGAGGTTTTAATTAGATGCATTACCATATGATTTCTTTTCATGGGATGTAAATGTGAATCAATATTCAAGACGAGTTTTATAAAATTATAGTTTCAAATGCCATTTTAAAACTCTGAAGTATGGGTTCAATACATCCTGTTTAGGAAAATGACCTATTTTATTTGCTCATTATTAGTCAATGACATATTCACAAACCTCGTATATAGTTGAAGTTTTCTTTTCCCATCTTATGGGGAACTCTTTTCACTTTGTCGATCTCTAAACCCCTCTAGGGGTTACTGCAACAACGACTATTTATGAGGGCTAAATCTTGTGGTAATGGAACTCGGAAATATGTTTTTCCAAAGGGCAAAAGTTATAGGAGTCTGCCGTTATTTCTCTCAATGATACATCACTCTCAATGATAAGAACATTTACGAGGAAGGAAAACCGATGAAAGTATACTATATACCAAGAGGCATAATCTCATAACAAATACTAGTAGTAATAGGTTCTTGTTTGGTCTAATACCTAGCACACACCTCTTATCTTTTGGTTACAATTTTCTGATGGGTAACAACCTGAATGTGCTTTTTTTTTTTTTTTTTGGCATAATGACAGTATTTTAGTTTCAAGAGACCAAATTTAAACTGAGTAATTGAAAATTTTCAATAAATACTTGATTTCATTATCTATGTATATGCTTGAAAGATGGTTAATAGTTGTAGATTTTGACCAGATTTCTTTCAACTGCAGCATATTCTTCAAGGGATTCTTCGTGGTATGGAATATTTGCGGTCTCAAAATTGTGTCCATAAAGATTTGAGACCTGAATTTGTGCTGTTTGATCCTGATAGTAAGAGAGTAAAGGTTGCTTACTTTGGAGAGCCCAAGAGTATGGACGATCTTGTGAATGATTGGTGTCTGGATAACCCGGTATTAATGTTAATCTTTCACTCTTTTGGTTTTGTGTTCCTACTGTTATATTGAAAGAAAAAATCTAGAACACTACAAAGGTATCGCATCAGCCATATCATCAGTTTAGTCTACGTCTTTCTATCATGTGATATATATATATTTCATATGCAGGGAGAAGCTTTGAAGGCCGCCAGTCTTTATTACCAGGCACCTGAAATACTTTTTAATGGAAGCTCTAAGGTAGTTGATATGTGGGCTGTGGGCTGTATCTTTGGTGAGATGCTAACTGGGCAGCCCCTGTTTCGTTCTAATACTTGGTTACATTTGCTTGCGAGTATTTTCGGGTATTTTTCTTTACATACGTCTTAAAAAGTTTCATTTATACTATATATGCAATGTTGAGATTCTAACTTTAAATTTCCTCGCCAATAGTTATATCAATTGGGATCAAAAGTAGGGATCTCAGTTTCCAATACTGTTTAACAAACTTGAAAATTTCTTGTACAGGGTCTTGGGCAACCCAAAGCCAGAAGTAAATGGCAAAATTAAAATTACTATTGATGGTCTTTTAACCCTTTCAAAAAATTTTGATTATAAGGTACATAAGAGAGGTTAGAATTTAGTTATTTTGAATGAGATTGAGTACATTATGTAAATTATTTTTTATATTGCAGGACTTGGCAAAAGAGTTTCCAAGTCTCGAACCTGCTGGAGTTGACCTTATCTCAGTAAGTTTGATTTAATTTACTAATTTGTCATCAAATTAAGCAGATTTTGTGACAAATTTTTGAGTTTTTTAAGTCATCTTTTGGTGGTTTTATTCATGTTTAAATTTTTACCAGAGAATGCTATGCTTGGATCCAGACCAAAGGATAACACCTCAGGAAGCACTTGAGCATGAATATTTTAAAGATCTTTAGGATATATTTTTATTAATCTTCCCTTTACCGGCAGGCTTTTTTTATTTTTTATTTTCTGTATTTCCCAACACAACAATATGCTAGTTTCATGATTTGTGTTAAAACATTTCGTAATCTATTATTTTAAGAGTGATGTGTGAATATATTTTTAAAATGTAGTTTATATATATTTTCAGAATTCAAATAAAAAAGTTATAGGCTGCCAACGAATGAGCCATGTCGAACTCGACCTAATATACAACCCATTATGGTCTTCCTCCAAATGGACCATGTAAGGTGGAACTGAAAAAAAAAAAAAAAAAAAAAAAAAAAAATGTTGACAAAAATTAACTTAAATAATGAAAGAGAACTAGATAATGGGTGATTTGAATTTTAATGTTTCTAGTAGTTATGTTAGATTTTTTTTATGTTTATCTTAATAATTTAAATAAATTAAATTAGATTAAGATAGTTGTATGTTTTATCTTAATCATTATTTGTATTATGTTTATCTAATTAATATTTTATAGGATTGGGCTATATCAACTTAAATTTGTATTACGTAATCTAATTAACATTTTTAATATGTGACAATAGTAAATGCTTAGAGAATTTACATGTGTTGCATTATTGATAATTAATGCATTTGTGAGTTAAGACTTTGTTGATTATTTTCTCTATATATTTTTGTCAATCAATAAATACCACCTGATTTGCAGTGTTTAATTTGTAGTTAATATTTTATTCGATGCTCAAACTAAATATACATTCTGGGTTTGACCTATAAATTACATTATATTGTCAAATTTTTCCACCAAAACTATCAATTTTTTTTAATTTATATTTTTGTAGTTGTTGTAGTTACTGTGAACTATGGTTCTGTCTGACAAAATTTTCAACTTCCATTGAAGATTTGATAGCCAGAAAAATATTATTAAAGGATTGCCAATAAAAACAGACTCTAAAAGTAAAACATCAATATACTCTCACAATACTGAGAAAAATTAGAACAAAATCCAAAGAAGGATTGTCAACCTCATCAAAGTAAGGATCGAGAATTGCAGCTTCGCTCGTAGTTCTTTTTCTTGGATCCACGTGCAACATTAAATCACATCCATGTAACTCGATCAAAATATATATTTTTAAACAATATGTATATAATTAAGCTAAACTTACTTTAAGAAGAGCCAGTCCACTTCACGGTGTTTGGGCCTATTTGGGTGTTTGGGTTTGGTTGAGTGTTTGTTGACTCTAGGCCTGTGTTTGGTATGTTGGGCTCAATTGGAGTTGATGATGGGTTTGATTTGTTTATGATTGAATCCATCTTTTTGGTAGAGAATGAGAACTAATCCAAGTGTCTATTTTGTAAGTGAAACCAATAACAGAGGGTAGAATTTGATTAGTGAAAATGAGCAACAAAAGGAAGACTTGGTTAAGAGACCTACTCTGATACCATGTCAAAATCTAGATATAGAGAGGTAAGGAGGTAGTTAGACTACCGAAGTATGCCTAGAGGAAAATGCTAGAGAGGCAAGAGAAGCAACTTGGTTGCTGAGTATGCCAAGAGGGAAGAAGAGCAACTTGGTTGCTGAGTATGCCAAGAGAGAAGAAGAACAAAGATAATAGGAAAAAATATTTGTGTATTTGATATATTCTTCATGTACAATTTACACTAATTTATACATGTGGAAATGTGACTTATAAGGAATGAAATTAAAAAAATAATTACATGATCAATACATGTAAGGCAATGTTATATTTTCAGCTAATCATACTTTAATTCGACCATATCAAATCCTCCATTAATTGTGCATATCTTCACTGTAATGTCAACATTTTCTAAAACCTTTGAGGTGGATTTTGTATAATACCCCTAAAAGTCAATATCTAACTTTCAGTTTTTTAAACCCTAGGGGTGATTGTTGAAATAAACCCGTATTATTAGTGTTGTCAAGTTATTGGTCACTTTGCTCATTGACTCACTATATTAAAACCCAAACCGGACCAACCGATCAAACCGATCTAACTAGGACCGGACAACCTCTACGGTCAGGTTCAAGTTCCAAGGGATTTTTTGCTACATTTCAAAATTGTAGGGACTAATTAGTCATTTGCTAGGGGTGTTATTGCAATATTTCAAAACTTTAGGGACTAATGGGAGCTGTTTTGGACATTTTTTAAATAAATTAAAATTTTAAGAACTAATTTTAATTTTTCAAAGGTTATTTTGTAATATACTAAAATTTGAGGGACTACTTTACAATTTCCTAAAAATAATTTTGTTGCTGACATCACCAGTCCAACCGATTGGACCAATCAACCCGTGACCAGTCACCAGGTCAGGTTATAAAACAATGCATTGACTAGGTTGTTCTATTCTGTTTTATATACTTGGTGCATATCTGTTCATTACAAAATGAGATATCAAGAAAAGAAATTAAGGCAATAACAGTAACCTTGAAAAAATTAGAATTATTTTGTACAAGCTGACATCCCTTTGGAGTAACTACAACCCCATCTCTTCCTTGAGAAATTTCACTGCTTCACTGATTCCATCCTGAAAGTAGCATAAGTTTTAAGACAATCTCAATATTGAGCAATTCAAATTCATGAATCACACGAAATGAATGACAAAAAAAAAATATATATATGGGATAATCAGCCAGTAATGGAAAGGAAAGCTCAGCAGCTTATTAATTACCTACTATCCACAACGCCAATAAAACATAGCGGCATAAACATCAAGATTTACAATGTCTAACTTTCTGAAGATGGATGACCAAATTGAATTCGATATGTGATTGCTTCAAAGTGATTTAAGAAACAAATACAAAACTATATTTATCAAAAATTAACTCAGATCATACAAAGATTTAGAAGCTTAAAAAACAAGTAGGTTTCGAATATATCTAAAGCATGAGAATACTCACCGAGTGAGTACACAAATTTAGAATTAAGAATGGTGCAATTTAATCTAGGATTGAGGTCAGATGTCTAGTCGCAAGAGATGCAATGAAGTAGAAATAGAAACGATTAACAAGTAAATGCAGCAAAGGCTTTACTAGTAATACAGCAGTGAACAGAAAAAATTATGGTAATAATATGCATTGTTACCTCAACAGAGATTCTTTCAGCAATTTTTTTTGCACATGCTTTGACTTCAGGAGATAGTGCATATCGAATGGATTCTGATAGCAATTCTGCAGATTCCTTGATGGTTTTGTCATCTTCATTTTCTGGAACCAAGAGGTGTCTTTTCAGTGGCTCGGGAGCAACTCCAAGCCAAAACATCCTCTCGGCCCAATAGAACTGATCCAACATGAACGGACATAGTATCTGCTATCCATAATCAAATAATTAACAAAGAGAAACAAAACAGAGTACCAAATGAATCTAAATTATGCATGCAAAGTCTATCAGAAATAGTAAATATAAAAATGGAAAAGGAAAAAAATGCATACATATACAACGGACTAATATATTCAGGTAAAGAATCTGTCATGGTAGTTCTACCAACCCAGTTAAGAATTCTAAACAAACAGAAAGAGATGGAAGTTGGTAGTAAGAGTGTTATATTGATTTGTTACTAGTACAAAGTTTTTGCAACAAAACCGGAAAAAGAAATCGATTCTACAATACTTCACACAACCAGCTAGGATATCAACTACTCTTGACATTAAAGCTATATATAGTTCAACCATTAACTGCAGCATATATATTTCAATGCCTAGCAAGGAACAAAGATGAAGAAATTATTTCTTATGCACAATTTTCATAAAAGTGTCTCCAGTTTGATTTTTTTTTTTTTTTTTTTTTTTTTTTAACTTTATAAAAGGCCTAATAATTTCACCTGCCATAAAAATCTCAGGGACAATGTAACAGTCTACTTCCATGTGCTTAGTGCACTTACAGAATACTGGATTATTAAGTCATATAACCCGAACTACTTTTTTGTGTAAAACTCTCATTCCAACTATTGGTTTGAGAAATCTCATAATTCTGCACATAGAATTTCACTGAAAAACTGCAAAGGTGAAATATTGTCTGTTAAAGTGAAATAAAGAAAGTTTATTTCAGATTCCTAATTTGCTTCACCATCAAGGTTCAAATTTGTGTCCATGGGTGTCTCAGCAGGCTTGAAACCCAACATCGCTATTCCAGACAACATATCTTGAACATACTTTCTTTGAAAAAAGACCAGTACCTTTTTCCTCTAGCCACTTCAATGTCTAAATAACTCAACTACCCTATATCTTTCAACATAAACTATTCCAAACAACAAATCTTGAACATACTTTCTTTGAGATAGGATCAGTCCATTTGTTATCTAGCCACTTCTGTGCAAGAAAATAGCTCAACTACCCTAAATCCTGAGCCTGGAAGTGCTCTTTTAACTGACTCTTGACTTATTCCATAACACAAGAATCTTTACAGCAAAGTGACATTAGATTTAAAGATTTGTTGACTCATCATGGTACAACATTCTTACCATTCATTTAAATGTTGATTGATTATATTGTAGACATAAAATGGGAAAAAACAATTATGCCCCAAAATATATTTAAATAAGTTGTGAAAAAATATTTAAAATTTGTGATTTCAATTAAATAAATAATTACTAATTTAATTAAGTTCACATTAATAAATGTAAAAAAATTAATACTATTTGTTGTAAATAAACTCTCCAACAAGGCCACTTCAGTGTTGGCCGACAAATCAATCTACTTGATTTGCTACATCACCGGCGAAATGTGTTATATTGTAAAGAGTGATACTATTAGGCCCCCACTTTTTATCTTAATAGACCCCAATAACTATTTTTCTTTAATTCTAATTTTATCCTTTATGAAAATTACTAATAAAACATAAAATAAACTTAGTTCTTAATTAAATTAATAATGTTTATCTTCTTCCCATTTTAGTATAAAATCTTTTTTATTTTAAATTTTTGCAATACATGTTACTTGATTATATTTCTAATATAAACTCATCTTTACAATTGTTTATAAATGTTTCTAAAGGATCATGAAGAAATTAGTGATTATTTTTTTAATTGCATGATAAATGACATAGCAACTTTGTATTGTAAAATAAAATCAAAGATAAGATGAATTCATACAAAAATATTTTTCTAGAGCTGTAAAAATACTAAAAAAAAAAAAAATCATTTCATGATTGGCTAAAAATAATGGATAAATAATATGTTCAAATCATGGATTTGAAAAGTGTAATGTGTGGAAAGTGGAAATATAAATAAAAGGGTTATTCTAGAAAACAGTGGGGTTTTTAAAATTTTAATGGGGTAGATTTAGAATTGGGGTATAATAAGATAAAAGGTGGGGGGCCAACAACATCACTCTATTGTAAATTCACATACATTTTAATAAGAAAAATTTTCAAGTCTTGCATCATTTTAATGAAACAAGAAAACCAAATTCGACTAATGCAAAACTTCCTAAATTAGACATCTTAATGAAAAAGACTGTCAATTCAAACTGAGAAAACTAATAAATTTGATATAAACTGTCCTATATCAATCTTCTCCCCTTTGAAATAGCTAAATCCTAAGGAAGAAGAAACACCAATTCAACGAAAGTAAAACTTGCTAAATTAGGCCGTCCACTTAGACTAAGAAAACCAAAAAAAAAAATTGATAGAAATTGTCTTACACCAGTCTCCTGAAGAAAGATAATTATTGTGAACTTGCACCACAAGTGGAGTCTTAGGTTTTACCCAACAACGGGGAATGTCGTTTCTACTAGGCTCAGTAAGAAAGAATGATGGATTCATCTCTTCATCTCCCCCACATTTAGCTAAGTTAACAGATTTGTGCTAGTTTGTCCAAAACAGTAACATTTGTCATCTTGAGAATGTAATGATAATTTGTTTGTCCACAAGGATAACACTAGTCACCTCGAGGTTGTTGGCATTAGACTTGGAAGTAAATAACCCTTAAGTCCGCATTATAGGTTGGTTTGGAGCAACTTCAATTGATTTCAGTGGGGGTTTTTTACCTTATTTGAAACTCCCATCTTTTGAGTAGTAGAGTCAACTAATATTCACGGTGATTGATTTTTAAACTGCCTTCCAACAAGTTGATATTCTATCATGTAGCTACTCTAAGGAATCTTGAAAAATTGTATGTGTGGATGGTAACACAATTTGATCTTGGACAGTGGTATGCAGTCCCCATATGAATCTCACAACTCGATGTCCCTCAAGTTCAGGTGGATCAATACAGACCAAAAGTCAAGTATATCAAAAACAGATCTAAAGCCTTGATGCCTCCTATTATGAATTTTGCAAATGTCCCTTAAGTTCACGTAGATCAATACAAACCAAAAGTTGTTAAAACTCTTCAGTATAATACAAAACAAGATCTGATTATGATCTGAGGAAGGAATCAAGCTCTCAACAATTGCCACGTTCAATGCCACAATTGGATTATATCTTTCCCTTGACAAGCTTGAGATAGCTCTAAATAATTCAGCCAAGCCAAAGCATCTCTTTCGAGCTTATATAAGCTTCGTTTCCTTCTCTTTCTCAAAGCCATTTCCTTTTCTTTCTCAAAGCCACAAGCTCAAATAATATCTCAACTTCAGCCACTAATCAAGAAAATCTTGGATTATTGTTACAAATAAACCATTCACCTCTACTGAAGGAGGACACAATAAGCCAGCTAGCATCATTCCTAAATCTTGAATGGATTATTGCACCAACTATTGTGCTTGTTGAAGCATAATGATAATCACAAATTGCTCTTCATGTTGATTTATGGAATCCCTTTTATTACTATCTAAACCAATTTTCCTTCTATTTTTTTTTTTTTTTTTTTTTTTTTTTTTTTTTTAAGAACAAAATAAAAAAAAAGAATTAAGGCTGATTGACAAAAATGAAAATAGGACGAAATTAAAAACACTAAAACTAGAAAGAAAAAAATAGTACCAAGGGCATAGTACGTTAAGGCTTGACGCATGATAACTATCTACTTTGTTTGTGAGGATAGTGCTACATTTTTTTTTACTTCAACTTCTAAAAAATTGAGTTTAAGTCAAAGTTCACTTAAAAAAAAAAAAAAAAAATCTTGAATCGACAAGAATATGATCTCAAATCCGCAAGACAATGTCAGGTCCACTTGAAAAAAATAATGTTTTGAATGTGAAGTGATTAAAGCATGAATAAATTGAAACATAACAAGCATATAGTACTATCCCTATTATGACTGAATAAGACAAAGACTAAAATCCCAATGAAATAAGAAAACCAGATTTGAATAAAATAAAACTTCTAAAACTAGGCAATCCTAATTGGAATAAAAAATCAGCTGAATCTAAGAAACTAATGAATCTGGCAAAAATTGTCCTACATCAAGCATGATTATATCTCACACAAAATGACTAACCCTTTAAAGAAGAATATGGGATAGCAAACTGTAATGGTATTTAAATTGATAAGAGAAAATCATTGTCCCACTTATAGGTTACTGATCATTACTTGAGATCTAAAATAATGTAGAAAAAGCTGAAGGGTTTATGAAAGACTAACCTGAGGGATTCCTGCGTATAGTGCGGCAGCAGTGGATCCACTAATTTTACATTGAAATCAAGCAATGCCAAAACATAAGTTAGCTTTGTTGCATGCTGCACATCTAATTTACATTAAAAGATCACAAAAGAATTTCTCTTACCTTCCTCCATGATGAATTGCAGCCACACATCTTGGAAACAGCCAGTTGTACGGTATCATACTAATTTACATGATAATTTTAAAAGGAGACGTAAATTTTCACAGACAAAAATAATGATACAGGACATAGTCAATTAAAATAATAGTTAAAGATAACCAAAGACAAGAGCTACTGTATCTTATAAGCTTTGATATGCTTAGCCATAGAGATACTCTACCCCTTCCCCCATCTGTATTTTCCTATATCATGAAGTCATGAACTATTTTATAGAATATACTGCTCGAGTTTCTTCACAAACTAGTCTAAGAGAATGTTCTTACTGAGTTCCAAGTAAGAAGCCCTTGATGGAAGCTACAAGAACAACATGACTGCCTAGCTCATTGTAATTTGAGAATAAGAGCACAGAGTTTTCAAGTTTTCATAGGAGTCTAAGAAATAGACGTCAACAAAGACGATCTGTAAGAGCCACATTTATGACCACAGAATACAGCAAAGAGTTCTAAAAGCATAATCAGAAATTAATGATTGGTTCATTTTGTTGTGTGCCAATCAAAGCAAATGTTGCTGAAAGTAGCTTGGTACGTCAACACACTGAGAAGGAGTTTAACACAAGTGCAGCGCTAGATCAAGTTTTAGATAAAGCTAAAAACATTTATAATCTAAATACGTCCTGGTAAAACAGGTGTGAAAATGCTTCTGTATCATTGAATAAAGTTGCAGGTTAAAAATGGTGGTAATAACCATTGATCTTCATCCTTTAGGTCTCATAGGATGCAGGTATACAAAGATATGCTCACCCAGAAAAGCAGAAGAGTGTGCCATCAAAGAGAGAGACTCCATCTTCAATGATCTGGCTTTGATTTAAAAATGAAGATGTTTCAGCAGCAATCGCTTGAATTGCTGCATCTAAAGGTTCATATCCTGCTGTGAAAAGGACAAATCTGTAGCTTGTGGTTTCTAGAACAGTTCGGAGAACCAGAAGAAATGCTCGAGGATTCTTTAAGAAACCCATGCTGCAAGCAGCAAAGAACAACAAAGTTCAACACAGAATGAGTAGTAGAAGTCCAAGTCCAAATGCACAAATGAATAAGAAATTAGTCAATCAACCAGAAGCATGACATTATTTAACACACTAGGTGCCAGTTTTAGACTGTTGTAGCTTAAGAAATAATTACTTCCTTACCAAGTTAGAGCCACAAAAGTGTTTGGTAAAGGATTAAGTATTATAAGTGAAGTGTGGTAAAGGATTAAGTACTATAAATGATTAAGTTTCAAGCTGATTATTTAATAATCAGTTCCATTAAGGATTTTGAAAAGCGGCCCAAGTACCTTTTCAAATTCAGATTAATTTTCAAGAAGAGGTCTTTCTGAAATCTCAATAATGATTCCTTTTGAAATAAAACCAAGTTGTGAATTGAGGATATTTATCGCAATTCAATTAATGTGTTTATCAAAAGGTTTCAGATTCAGATTAAAGCTAACTTTTTCTATTTTTATTTAGTCAAACATATTAATTTGACTTTCATATGTAAAAGAGAAAACAAACAATATAAATAGATTAAGGGATGCGTAAGAGAAACAAACAACCCCTAAGTATTGATATTCATGAGAAGAAAACACAGTAAGGAACCCACCTTGCAATAGAGCTTAGTCCTATGAAAATAGGCGACACAAATTTAGGAGTTTCCAGAAAAGATTGAAACTCAACATGAGCTGCACACATTTTCCAATTTGTTCTCAGATGCCGAGATGACAGAATGGAAATTTCTTCACACTTCTTACATGAAAATTGCCATTCAATAGGGAGGAACCAAAAACCACAAACACGAACACTTGAAGGCCAGTAATCTGTTTAGGGCTAATATTAGAAAGTTAATTAAAAAGAGGTTATCATCACTGAACAAATTCTCTTTGATTTGAAGCACAAATATAATTTTTTATGCTTTTATGAACATGATTGAGTCACTCCGCATTTATAGGATAGGGATCAAAGTTACTTGCAACCCAAAAATTATTTTTTGTGATTGGAATTTAGTTACTTTATTTGCTCACACATGACTACCATCAATCATGGATCAAATGAATAGTATCAAAAGGTCAGTTCTTGAAAGCTGAAAAATGATAATCTATGTTCAACAATCAAACAAAAAAAGGAGCCCATGCATGATGAGCATAAAATTATACATTCACGTAATAAATTACACAGGTTGCCTCCAGGTTCCAAGAATCCCTCTTATATTTCTCAGCTAGAGGGATGCCTTCATCTTGATATATTGATTTCACATTCTGACAGAACAATTTTTTTTTGTATTTGTAAACAACAATAAAAAGGGTCATGAAGGAGATTGCAAACCAGAACAGAATTTGGGAAGAATGTTAAAAGGAGAGTGTAATTTTAAGTAACTCCTAGTATCCATACACCATTCCCAATCCAATAATGGTCAAAGTATATGAGAAAAACTAGCAATCTACTCCTATTTTAACCCTGTTTTCATACAACACACATTAATAGAGCCTTCTGTTCCAAGCCTCTCATTTAAGGTATAGCAGCATGCAGACATGAATTCACACACAAGACTACAAAAATGTAGAAGGAAAATCCCACATTATTCTAGGTAATTGCCTGGGTATGTCACTCCATCCGATTTACAGAGCTAGGGAAATTTGTGCAAAAAACTGGCTGTTATTATTAGTCAGCATACACCTCTACTCATTCATGTTTTAGAAAAGTTATACCATGAATAAAAATGGCAAACAAACATAACACTTTTCTACTTTCTCTTTCTTCCTTATCTAAATGTTCAATTAACCACTAAATTAAAAAACCTGTGTGCTACACATGTTGCGTCCAACTTGTAATGTTTTAAAATTCAAGTCCCTCTTTGCAGATCAAACCCAACCCCTACCCAACAAATAAAAAAAAAAAAAGGAAAAAGAAAAAGCAAAGTGAACACACGGTTGATAAGGTCAGTCAATTATATGATCATGAGTCAGCTCAAGAACTTGTATTCTTCTAAACTAAAGTAGAGGTTATACATTCACCACTTTTTTCACCTGCCTTGAAACTTCAGCAGAAAATAGGAAGAGAAGAAAATTGTACAGTATAAATCACAAGAAAGAAATCTGAATCTATTAGGATGGTAAAAAGAAAAGTATACCAGGGCATTCAACAACTTCTTTGCTAAATCCATACCTGTAAACAAAAGAAATTAAAAGAAAATTTTTATGGTATGAAACACAAGAAGTGTTAGAGGATAACATAATAATCAAGAAAAATGGATCAAAGATATAATTCTGAAGAAAACAAATGTTATCATTAAAGGAAATTAATTAATATGCTACTTCACTCTATGTAGTTATACGCTTGTACCTGTGATATGAATACATATCATGCATCTGGCTGATAAAATTGTACATAGTTACGAAGACACAATCCATTTTAGGTTATCTTTCTTTAATGATAAAAGCTCTTTATCTATCAGAAAGTGCATAACTTACAATAGTTTAGGAGATGGTACCCGATCATACCAAGTGGGAAGGCCTGTCACTGGATCCTGCATTCAGTAAAGAGGTTTCATGAGTACTTGTGATCCTTGGAGTATCAAAACCTTATCTCAGCTTCTGGTTACAATTGTATTAAAATGAATAAATGAATAGAATTTTTGTACATGATTCATTAAATGCAACAATGATTTACATCAAACACACTAACCGTAAAAGGGCAAGGACTCAAATTCAGTTCCTCACTTCTCCACAAGCCCCAATTTTCAGAAAAAAGTGGCCACATCCAATGAATCACATCTTTCCAACAAGCCTACATAATCTAACTGATAAGGATTCAATATAGACATTGAATATCTGAAACAAATATAAGTATCTAAATAATTAAGATTTAAACTTATTGTCCCACAATAATTTAAGATTGAATAATTTATAAGGCTCATCATTTTACTTCAAAAAGAGCAGTTGGAGTTTGAATACCTTGTTGATGGGAGCTTCCTGGAGATATTTATACAAAAGGGGATGTTCTTTTACGAAGCAGTGCTCAAACGATGAAGGTGCACTGCCCAGTAAATAGAAAAGTTAATTTAAAATTACGCCCAAATTGATGAATGCCAACAACTGGATATATGATGCTTTTTACAAGGATATAAAGGATGTGTTACCAATAGATTATGGGGTGAAAAGGGAGAAAACACATCAAGGTTTTAGCAATTTTCAGAAGATACCAGATGTGAAATTTAAATGATGTGCAGACATCCAAAGAATTAGAAGGTATTGACAGAAATCAAAGTGTCAGTCAAAATGAAATCTTGTATTACCTATAGGGAACGACATAAGGAGCGGCAACTATGTAGCGGACACGAAAAAGTTCTGCAAGGCTCCATCCCTCCTGGAATACAATGTGAAGCAACATTTTTAGGTGTTCAATAGTTATTCTATAACCCTAAGTTTCAACAGGTCCTCATAAAATTGTACACTTAAATTTGTTTTTCTTATGCAACCATGTAGATATCACCTTTATTTGTTATTAAGAAACTAAATTATCACACTTACTTGTTTAGCAATTTCTTTTTGGACATTAATTGATCTCTGCATGGTTCTTATGGTATATAAATGTATTCTTTCTGAATTTTTAAAATACCATTTATCTTCTGGTGCCTCCTTAAAGATGTCTAAAGACTCCATACAAACAAATTTGACATCTTCAGACATAGCAATTAAGCACTTTAATGGAAATAAATTCCCTTTAACAACCATCAAGACCACAATACCAATCTTGACATTAGCAACATATCAAGAAATCTCATTTAACTTATAGCTTTAACATGAAATACCAATGCAAAAAAGTTAATCACAATGAAATCACCCTCCAAGCTAGGACCATTTCCAAATATTCTTTCCACTGCAGAATAGCATTCTTTTCTATGTTCAGCGTTAACTTCCCTCTTCTTCAGCCTAAACATTAACTCCAGCAAACCTGATAAGAAAAAACAAGTTACAGGGACACTGCCAAAGTATGAGGTTAATATTTCATTACCAGCAATAAACAAAGCAATTGTTTCGCATATCATTAGCCCCATATAATACAAAACATGAAGATCACAGTCAGCTTAAACCCGAACCTGTTGCATCATGATTCTGAGGTGTTGAAACCACAGGTGGTGATGAAATTGGACAAAATGCAACCGGTTTCCCAGCCAAGTGAGAACTCAAGTCCTAAAAACACAAGCCCCCCAAAAAAAAAAAAAATTTATAACCCTTTTCCATATATGAAAATTATATTCAATAAACACAACAAATTTAAAAATTGCCAATAAAGTACATAAGCGTTCAGAGAATACAACAAAATTTTCGAATAATAATGCAATGAGTAAATTCAGTTGGTAACCTGGTGAGCTGAATGAGTGATAAGAACGACATGGTAGTGTTTCTGGTCAGAAGCAAAAGCGGCAGCGATTGCCTGCGTTTATTACTTATTCAGAGAAAAAAAAAAACCGTTATAATTTGATCTTTGTTAGCGAACTTACAGCGACAGGGTAAACACGCCTTTGGTGCCGAAGGCCATGAAGGCAGCTACCGGTTTCGTCCTCTCCAACCTGTTTCCATTGCAATTGCAGAGCTCACAACTGAGAAATTCTGCGATTTGAATTAACGCAATTTGGATGAATGACAAACATCCTCGTGCTTTTATGAAATTACATGCATTGAAGAGTTTTGAAAAATACAAAAATACCCGACAAGATTAGCTGATCTTACATAAATGAAAAAAATATGCTTATTATTTTATACTCTAGTGTCTTCAATTCTATTTACTCAGATTTATTTTAGGCATTAAAATGAGAAAGGTAGATTAATTAAATTGGCAAAAATTGGGGATTGTATAAATTACTCTCAACCGTATACCAATAATAGCATTTTTCCATTTTGCCCTGATATAAAAGCTAAACTTTCACTTTCTCTTGTTTAAAAAAAAAAAAATTGAAGCCGTTTTTTATTTTTGAAAATATTGATATCAGGTTCTATGAGTTCCACTAATTACTAGACTTTGATTTATTTTTTTTATTTTTATTTTTTTGTGATCGAGGGTGTCTCTAGGACCGCTTACGCCACTTCAACTAATCTTCTAACCTAAGTTAAGGTGGTAAATCCCCTCATGACCATCCCTTTAGCAAACCAGGTAATCGAACTCAAGACTCTTAAATAAGACAACCAAGAGTTCTAGTTGACCGTGAACACCCATGTAGTTACTAGACTTTGATTTAATCACTGAATAGACTTTAGCCATTATCTTCCATCAATGCGGCTCATAGGATACGATGCATATTACAAATTGGAAAACCAAAAGCACTCCGACATGGGACGGTGGATGGAGACATTGAGGGTGACAATGTAAGTATATACAACCTGAATTTCCTATTCCATTTACACTTTCACATTTTCTCACTATATTCATATAGAGTAATACAGCCTTACAAAGAGCATATAAAGAAGATACAAAAAACAAATCACCCTTAAAAGAGAGAAAAAGAGAGAGAGACAATCATGAATTTTAAGACGAATTATCTTTGTATCTCTTTGTAAGCTAGTATTGTCATTCATATAACATAGCTATTAGAGGATGATGCTAAGACGGAGCTTGTTGCTATACTGTGCTGAGACAGTAAAGATTAGACCAAGATCTATTCGAGTTCTCAATTTCCCTCCTCTTGCACACAGTGCTCATGGAACCGATGGGAATATCCCTGTTATTTAGGATGATCTTCCACTTTATGTTCCTGAGGTCAACGCACAATCTAGACAAGGTGATGCCAGCAGCACCTCTCTATGGTGGAGGTTCAGAGCCTTGTTAACCAATGTTGACAATATGATGGATTTTAATGGTTCTTGTAGTTACTTTAGATTTTTTTAAATAAATTAAATTAGATTAAGATAGTGTGATGTTTTTTATCTTAATTATATTTGTATTTCGTTTATCTAATTTAAAAAAACCAGTGGACTTGGAGTCTGTTCTGGGTTTGCAGAACACTTGTTTTGCGAGATTATTGATTAAAAAAACAGAACTCTCCAGAAGTATTCAATTTTTTTACTACCAAATTAAACTCACATATATAAATGCGTGCATTAATAATCCCATTCAAACACTAGGGTATCCAGGTCAATCCTATAATATTTATATTAAGGATAAACCTATGACAATAAAAGAATAATATCACAATAATTTGAAATATTCATGCTCAAGTGCTTCCTGAGGTGTTACCCTCTGGTCTGGATCCAAGCATAACATTCTCTGGTAAAAATTTAAACATGAATAAAACACCAAAAGATGACTTAAAAACTCAAATTTGCCAGAAAATCTGCTTACTTTGATGACAAATTAGTAAATTAAATCAAACTTTCTAGATAAGGTCAACTCTTGTAGGTTCGAGACCCGGAAACTCTTTTGTCAAGTTGTTGAAAGACTGAATGTAATATGCAAGGTGCAAGTTGTATATAGTTAGTTAATGGTTAGTTAAGTTGTTAAGGTGTTAGAGAGTTTGTTAGTCTGTTATTCAGAGTCATTAGCTGTAGTAATTAGTTATCATATTAGTTAACTCAAGTTAGTTGTTACTAACTTATTGCCTATATAAAAGTGATATTCAATAATGAAGCAGAGTTCATTTTACGGTCAAGAATATTTTCTTTAGTTTTATTCCACAAAGCTCAACATGGTTCAGAGCTATAGGTTTCTTTTGATCAATCAACAAATCAATTGCAATTTTTCTCACATTCTAGATCAGCCTTGAAGAAATTCAAGATTCTCAATCATTCTTCTTCTGTTTTAGTCTTCCTGATTCTGCTCAAACTCCTTTCTGATTAGCACAGATTCTTTTCTAATTCAGCTCAGATTTGTTATCTAGCTAGACAACCATGGTTGGTCTACTGAAGACTCAGTTATACCTTCAATTGATGCCAACTCGCCTCTGTATGTCCATCCATCTGATACTCTGGGATCTATTTTGGTTTCGGAGTAGCTTGTTGGAACCGAGAATTATGGGATCTGAGTCGAGCATGACTTTGCCTTTGTGCAAAGAATAAATTAGGCTTTATGGATGGCACTTGCACAAAATCATCAGCCCATTCACGCCTCGTGCCGCAATGGGAGAGGTGTAATTCCTTGGTGCTTGCATGGATCTTCAATTCTGTCTCAAAAGACATCTTCAATGGGATAGTCTATTCAACAAATGCAGCTCAAGTTTGGCAATATTTGAAGGAACAATTTCATAAAGTCAATGGAACCATAGTTTTTGGACTACATCGAGAAATCATCAATCTAACACAGGGAACAAATTCAATAGCTATCTACTACAATAAACTTAAATCTCTTTGGGATGAATTAGACTCTTTAGTTAGTCTTCCTATTCCAGATAGTAGTTCCGCAAAGGCTTATTTGGAACACTTAAATCAACAAAAACTTCTGCAATTCCTCATTGGTTTGAATGATTCCTATTCAGTGGTTCAGAGCCAAATTTTTCTCATGAATCCTCTACCAAGAGTTAAGCAAGCCTACTCTGTAGTACACCAAGATGAAAGTCAGAAAATCCTAACTAGAATGAATCCAAATACTGAAGTCACTACTACAGTACTTTATATGCGCAAAATGCTGGAAAAGGTCAGACTCAAAACCAAAAGTATAAGGGCAAAAAACCATATGTCAAATATGATTTTTGCCACATAGCTGGACAAAAAAAAAGAGTCTTGTTACAAAGTCATTGGATATCTAGTAGACTATCAGTTTACTAAGGGCAAAAATGCTTCAAAAAACATATTTTCAACCAATCAAGCTCAAGCTCAGAAATCAACTCCTGAATCTGCAAAAGCTGGAAATTCATCTATTGTTGTGGTTGGACCAGTTTTAACCACCGAGCAATATAATCAAATCCTACAACTACTGGGAAAAGAGAATGTTTCACCCCCTGCTGCAAACCTTGCAGGTACCTCAGTTGCTCTATGCTCTTGCTTTAATAAAAATAATTGGATAATTGATACAAGAGCAACCGATCACATGACATACAATTGCTCCCTGTTACAATCACTTACTGTTATAGAAGCATCTTCTAAGTATCTAGTAGGACTACCAAATGGAGCTAAAACATATGTTAAGCATGTTGGATCAATTAAGCTTGACAGTGGTCTTAGCTTATCTAATGTTTTACATGTCCCAGAATTCCATCATAATTTGCTTTCAGTTTCAAAACTTACCATATCTAACAAGTGTCTTGTTACCTTTTATCTTTTTTTTTGTTTAATTCAGGATCTTTAAAATGGCAAGTTGAAGGGGATTGGTAACCATAGTCAAGGCCTTTAATACCTTGATCCAAATCTGTCTATTTCTTCATTTGTATTAGTCCTTAAGAAGCTGAATAAATCTAGTTGTACATCTGAACTTTCATCACAGATTGTACCATACTTTTCAGTTCAATAAAACATCTATTTTTCCTACTACCTGCATGACTACTTCCTTGTCTCATACTTTTGCATTATGGCATCAAAGGCTTGGCCATGCTCCTTATTCCATCTTATCTCACATACATCTGCCTAAACTAAACACGTTTACACCTTCTTCTTATTCACATTGCCATGTATTTCCTTTAGCCAAGCAAACCAGATTATCATTTCCTCACAATACCTCTCAATCTCACATAACTTTGACTTGCTGCATATTGATGTATAAGGACCATATAGCACTCCTACAAATGGTAATGCTAGATACTTCTTGACTATAGTGTATGATCATTCTAGGATAACCTTGTTATTCCTTATGCAATTTGAATCTAACACTTTCTCTACACTCAAACAGTTAATTCAAATGGTCCACACTCAATATCAAATGTATCCAAAGTGTATTAGGACTGATAATGGTTCAAGATTCTTCAATAGATCTTGTGATGAATTGTTTAGTGTTCATAGTATACTTCATAAGGCATTGTTGAGAGGAAGCACAGGCACATCCTATAGGTATCTAGAACCCTGAAAATTTAGTTTGTTTCTAGGGTTATTTTGTTCAGGCTACTGTTTACATAATAAATAGACTACCCACCCCAGTTCTTCACATTTTGTCACCCTTTGAAACATTTTTCCGCAAGTCTCCTACATTTGATCACCTTAGAGTCTTTGGTTCTTTAGCTTATGCTGCAGTTCTCTCCTCAAAAGACAAGTTGTCTCCTAGAGCTACTCCATCTATTTTTCCAGGCTATTCCTTGACTCAAAAAGGCTACATTCTTTATGATTTAGCTTCTCGTACAGTAAATGTTTCCAGAGATGCCATTTTCCATGAACATGTCTTTCCTTTTGCTTTGGCTCAACCCTCCAAACTTCCACTCCCACCTTATTCTAACTTCCTTGTTGAAGAATCAGATCAGTCCTCTTCGGTTCAGACTTATTACCAACCATCTTCTTCTACTTCCCACCATATGTCACCTCCACCTCCTTCGGATACTCCTCCAAATTCAGATTCTCCTATTCTTTCCTCTCCTTCTACTATTGCTCATATTGTTCCACCTGGTCTTAGAAGGTCTAGCAGGTCTGTTCACCCTCTTATTTGGACTTAAGATTACATTTGTCCTACTTTTTCCCACTCTTGTTCAACTAATGCCATTGTATACCCTATCTTTGATTTTGTTTCATATCAAAACATCTCTTCTGCACACAAGGCTTTTTTGTCCAAGATGTCCTTGGTTGAACCTTCTAGTTTCCATCAAGCATCACAGGACCCCAATTGGGTTGAAGCTATGAATAAAGAAATTTAGGCATTGGAGTTAAACCATACCTGGTCCATGGTACCTTTGCCCTCAGGTAAGACTCCGATTGGGTGCAAATGGATTTACAAACTAAAGTATAGGGTTGATGGAACATTGGAGAGGTATAAGGCACGTTTGGTGGCTAA